CTGAGAAAGCCTAGGGTGGAGTTGACTTTCCCACAGATGTTATTTATATGACATTCCCACTTGAGATTTGACTGTATAGTGACACCTAAATATTTTGCTTTGACTACGTGTTGTAACTCCTTTCCGTGCAGCATATATTTGTGATGCTGTAGGTGTTTGTTGTTGGTGATGGAAAGGACGTTGCATTTGTCAGGATGGAAGGACATTTCCCATGCTATTTCCCATAGAGCTAGTTTGTCTAAATCTTGTTGTAATAGCTGTGCATCAGATGGTAATTTGAAAGTAAGATAGACAATGGTGTCATCTGCAAATAGACGTACAGTGGAGTGGAGGCCAACATGAATGTCGTTTATATAAAATAGAAAGAGAGATGGACCAATAACCGAGCCTTGAGGGCCACCAGACTTGACTTCGACAGTGCTAGATTTCCCCCCCCCCCCCCCCCTACCCTCAACGATGATAGCCTGCTTCCTATTATCCAGGAGGTTTTCTATCCAGGTGTTTACCTTCTCATTTACACCATAATGACGAAGCTTATGACAAAGGTTTGGAAAAAAACATAATCAAGACGTCGGTTTGTTTTCCCTTGTCAATGTTGGCGCTGACATCATCAACAAAATTCAATGAGCTGACTCTCACGTGATACTGACCTTCGAAAACCGTGTTACAGTGGGTAAAGGATGTTATGTTTGTCAGCGTGGTTCATGATGTTACTGACCACTATGTGTTCTAGAAGTTTGCTACAAATACATGTGAGAGAGATTGGCCAGTAATTTTCTGGATTTAATTTAAAGCCCATTTTATAGACTGGAGAGACGTGCGCTAACCAGAGGGAACTGTGCCAGAATGAAGAGATTCGTTAACGATCTTTCAAGATCTTGGGTTTCAACTCGTCAGGTCCAGCTGCTTTACTAGGGTTTACATTTTGCAGTATTTTTGTACGCCTCATGTTACTGCTCAAGCAGTCCAGACAACCCCACCAAACAACCATCGTGACGTCACAGGTAAATCACTTCATGATGACGTCAACAGAGGTCATTCAGTACAACAACACCACCACCAACACCCCCC